GGGGGGCGGCCGCCCCTGCGAGCAACATGGACCAAAGCGTCGTGGATCACCCGGTGACCCTCATCATCAAGGCCCCCAACCAGAAATACACCGACCAGACTGTTAACTGCTTTCTGGAGTGGACTGTGGGCAAGCTCAAATCTCACCTCTCTGACGTCTACCCCAGCAAGCCGGTGAGTTGTTGGCCAGCTCTTCCCGTGCGGCTGGCGCTGCCTGCTCAAGGCTCCCCTAGGTTCTCTGCAGGATAAACGGGAGTCCTGCTGCCGGAGAGGCGTCCCTGAAAAGGCCGTGCCTGGCTCTCTGCTTTCAGGCGAGTTGGCAGTACAAACAGCTGCGCTTTTGTGTGGTTTGAGATCGTAGTGCAGCACCTGGAAGGTTGTATCGCCGAAGATACCAGTTAATGCTCCGTGTAAGTTCATTAGAAACCGGAATTTAGATATCTCAACTCAAATTTAGTAATTTCTGTAAACGTGAGAGTTCTGTCGAAGGTAACTACAGTATTTCAGCAATACAGCTAAAGTTACTGTGATCCAGTGAATTCACTGAGGTGTGGAGCAGATAGGTGTTTATTAATAATATTGTTTGAAATGTGGAATTGAACGACCTCCAGATTTATTTGCCTTCTTTTTTTCTTCCCCTCTTGGAAAGCCTTTTTTTCCGAGAGGCTGAAAACTGCTGTCAGATGTTCTACTAACTTGTGTGACAGTTGTGACTGTATTTTTTAAAAAAATATGAGCTTTTATATTGTTACTTACTGTGGAAAGTATGATTTCTTAATGAATTTTTAAGTTCTATGTTTGGGAATTAAGAATAGGCTATGCAGAGCTATACAGGTAATAACAGAAAGATAATACTGTACCTGTTTAGAATGACAGTTGTACAGAGCGGTATATTTGAAAATTTGTTCCAGAAAACTGTGCAAAGGGAGTGGCTTTGCCTCCACCTTGCATCAGCATGTGGGGTCTAGACCTTGCTATGGAAAACATCAGACAAAGGTTGTATTTATATTACAAATAATTAGTAGTCACCTAGTCCAGTGGAAGAATTATTGGCACTGATGATTTCTTTTTTGGGGGTGACAGGAGAGGGACAGAGGGCAAAATAGTGGCTTTGTGTCTCACTGGGGATTTCTGCCTTGTGGAAAAAGCAGAATAAAAGCAGTCAACAGCTTTGGCTGTGTCACTGGTACGTTGAGATCTGTTAAGCAGTATTTGAGAGTTTATGGGTTTAGTTATTGCTGTGAGTAATTCTCTGCTGAGAGAGCCTATCTGCTGTAAAAGAAACAAATACATGACTTCAGCTGATTGCGGCTTCATCCTCCTCACCAGAATCTCCTCCTGTGACGTATTTGTGTTTAAACACTAGTTTTCTGACTCATCCTGTGATCTTGGTAAATTTGGCTTCTAGGAAGAGCTCTTAACGAACAGGAGGTTTTTATGTTGTACTGTGGGTTTTAACCAGTAGTACAACATTAAATTTCAGTTTCCTGGAACATCTTTCTTTTGTTGAAAATTGATTCCTCAGCATGCCTCCCCTTATTGAATAACTAGTGCAGAATCCCCAAAACTCTTCTGGGTTGAAGAATGGGGAGTTTCCTAAGTAAGGATTATCCCAGTAATTCAGATTTAATTTGGATATACTGTACTTGCCATTAAACTAGTAAGTGAACACTATTTTTATTTCATAGAACCTTTAAAGTTAAAGTAATAACATGGGAGGGGAGAAAGTTGAAACTACATCAGTGTCAAAAACTTGTTGATCAAATTTCTACGTACCCTGAATGTGATGGGTCCTGGAAATAACTTCTATTACAACGCCACATTAAGAGTGTGAGAGTACACCAGAACCCAGATGCTCTGTGCAGGTATTGCAGTGTTCTTGAAGTGAAGGGAGTAAACCAGAAATCAGTTGCTGTTGGTGCTGTACACAGCCTTGCAAGTTTTCGTGTGTGACTTGTACCTTATTCTCCTATACACATCTGCAAATTAGTCGGTAAACTGGTGGTAACTGTAAATGTTGGCATTTAAAATTCATTAAAAGTATATAATCAGAAAATGAGATGGTTAAAATAGACTGAAAAGAAGTTAGGCCTCGAGACAGTGGTGTTTGATTCCCCCTCCCCCCCTCCCTCCCCTCCAGATTAGTTTGTGTAAATGACAGCTAAATATAAAGAAATTCCAAATAGAGGCACATTTAAATTGCTTTAGTTGTTATTACGTGTAGTTGTTTGTGCTAAGGTTCACACTTGGCAGTATTTTTTCCCCCCCCCGACTGGACCAATTTTTCATAGCTAGAGTACTGCAGTTACATTGTCCCTACATTAAATCTTTCTGTAAGAAGAGAAAACTTGGGAAATCAACCTGTATGTCCCAGTCTGGTAGATCTTACATTAACTGTTTCATTGATTCCACCCATAAATGTTAATTTAAAACTGCTGTCTCTCATTTCCTTAGTAGCTGTCATCTGGGAAATCACCCTGTATGTCCCAGTCTGGTAGTCTGGTTAATCTTACATTAACCGTTTCATTGATTCCACCCATAAATGTTAATTTAAAACTGCTGTCTCTCATTTCCTTAGTAGCTGTCATCTAGTGTATACTTTGCCCACAGTTCTGACCAGATGCGGCTGTTTGGATTTTTGTTTCCTATGGAAGAATGGGGAAGAGGCTGAGTGACCCAAATAATGGATCTTATAGCTGAAACAGGATAGCTCAGTGACTGTCTGTGTTTCTGAAGGAAGTTGCTGTATTGGCTTGGGTTTGGTGGTGTAGGAGATGCGCTGGGTGCAGCTAATGTGGACTTAAGCATTTCAGGAGTCTTGCTTGAAGAATGGAAGAACAAAAACACTAGCTGATGGATTCTGAGATTTGAATACATACTGTTTGCTTTATGTTCTGAAAACTGTTCTTGTTCTAACATTCATATTCTAGAATAATTTTATCTGATGCTGTGTGCTTGCTTCTGAAAATGAGGCTACTCTATATGTTTTTTTAAGCCTTTTTCCATCACAGTTTGGTGTTTGAGCTAGCAGTGAGCATGCTGTTCTTGAAGCAGGAGCTGTGGTAGTGAACCTCCTCTAGCAGAGGCTGAGTTTAATGCCTTTTACATTTATTTTGACGTACATGTGAATTCCTGTGTTTTCACGTTTATCACCTCTTCTCCCATCTGCATTTAAGAAAACCCACATTGCAGAATCCCAGGATAGCTTTCATCCTGAGAACTGTAAGGGTTAATCCTGCAGTGCACAGTTAGGTATTTGAGTTACATAGTGAGGAGTGTGGGGTTTAAGACCTCATCTTGCCCCATTAATGTCTCTGGCTCTAGATTACCAGTACTCAGTGTGTGCCTTTTCTCCTTGGTTCTGTAGGGAGCTGAAACACATTACTGAAGGCTACATAATAGTCAGCTTTGAGGGGTCATTTTAATCTAGCAGTTTCTTCTCTAAAGTATCCATATTAAAAAAGTGATTTATAGAATCACAGAATGGTTTGGGTTGGAAGGGACCTTAAGGTCCATCTAGTTCCAACCCCCCTGCCATGGGCAGGGACACCTTCCACTAGACCAGGTTGCTCAAAGCCTCATCCAGCCTGGCCTTGAACACTTCCAGGGATGGGGCATCCACAACATCTCTGGGCAACCTGTTCCAGTGCCTCACCACCCTCTCTGGGAAGAACTTCTTCCTGATATCTGATCAGGAAAGAAACCTCCCCACTTTCAATTTAAACCCGTTACCCCTTGTCCTGTCACTACAGGCCCTTGTAAAAAGTCCCCCCCAGCTTCCTTGTAGCCCCTTCAGGTACTGGAAGGCTGCAATAAGGCCTCCCTGGAGCCTTCTACTACTTCTACTACTATTTATACTACTTGTCATGTTTGAGAAGGTAATTTATTAGATGGAGTTGAGGAGAAGTTAATGTATAAGGTACTGAAGAGAAGAATCTGAATTTGACCATGTAGAAAGCTGTATTATAAGTGGGACAGGCAAAACCAATGCTCCATTGCCATGTTGGATGATGGTACGGAGATTGGGAGTTTGGTTTTCTTTCTGTTGTTGTTGTAAGCAGTTAAAACAAAACAAGCAAAACACCTGTGCTAATTAAGCTCCAGCTAATCTGTCTCAGGACCTAGAAACAAGGTTTCTGAGACTTCTCCTCTGGCTCCCTTGGTCATTCAAAAGCAAAAAGTTTCTAATTTACAGGAAATCAAATTTTTCTGACATCTTGATGCATGCTGCAGACTGTTGTTTTCTAAGAAGGCCTTTCCCAAATACAGAATGCAGGTAAGCTTGTATTCTGTTAGCAGCCTGTTCCTGCTTGAAGTGGTGTAGTTCTAAAGAACTGTCTGAGACAAGATAGGCATTTTTTTGTTGCTGCTTTACACGTAAATAGAAATAGTTCAGCATTGATGTTGAGTTCATTGCAGTGTTTTATCCGTGTGAGCTGCAAATAACTAGTGCCCCGCCTTGTGAGACTTACAAAAAGTGTATTACGTCACTAATTAAAGATACAGAAAAATGCAGAAGAATGTGGGAAATGATTGTTCAATTGAAGTGATATTCTGTATGTGGGAGGTTCTGCACTCAGTTTTTGAAGATGTATTTAGTCATGAATAGCTCATATGAATTTGGTAAAAGAAGTTAAAGCAAAAGCTCCTCAGGTACTCTAAAAGCTTTTTCTAATCAGCAATCTGGATCTGAGATACTCATGTGGTAGTATTAGCATGAGTAAGACTTCAGAGTGGGCAATAGAAGGCTGGGAGAGAAAGAGGAGAGGTGTTGTGAGACTAGCTGTTTGCCTGATGGGGAAGTTGTTCAGATATTTCATGCTGATAATGCATGTCTGTTCCTCTGATGCTAGGCTAGATTTCTTCATATTTATGTTAGTGCTCCCTTTCAACTGATAAATGCTATGGTATTAATTCAGAATGCAAGCAGGAGTTAAACTGAACTGATGTACCCGTAGGATTCTCTTTAAAATTCTTGGTATGGGTGAATATTTAGGAGCTTTTTCCAAAACAAGCCAAAAACCCCTCTTTATTCACAGATTTGAAGCCTGTTAGTGACCCGTTAGTATTAGAAGTATTTAAAACTCCTGATAGCATGAACTGAATTGGGTGAGGTTGGGGTTTTTATTATGTTTAACTAAGCAAGCTGCCTATTGCTGAAGTGTAGTGGACGTCTTACTGTAGGTAGGTACCCCAGATATTTTCTAAAAAGAACTTTGGCATTCCCTCTTCTGTGTTGAATAATTAAAAGTTATTACCTTATGAATAACGAACGCATTGTTTGCTTTAAATAAATAAATAAATCCTTGTTTGCAGTACTAAGGTATTTTAAACTGGAAGTGTAAGAACGGGCTAAAAAGCTTACCAAAGCTTGAAGGCTACCTTAAAAAAAAAAAAGTCCTTTTGCTGCTTCATGCTTTTTAATGCTTTCCTCCTTGTTTCTTCTTGTGATTTTTCTTTCTTTTTTCCTTTGGGTGAGGGAAGGGGCTAATAACAGAAATTCTGTGTCGAGAAAGATTGAAATTTCTGCCCTTCCTCTGCATATCTTAATTATCATTCCATCGTTCTCTTTTTTTTTTTCTTTGCCCCAGATTACTTTTCCATCTACTTTTTCAGCGAGTGCCTGGGAATGAGAGAAGGGTAAAGAACGAATCTGTAAAAGAAAGGAATTTACTATGCTTGTTAGGGGGTGTTTGTTTTTTTTTTACTCGCAGCATTTGCCAGTTAAGTGCTGTTTAATTGTTACGGCACTCCTGCTGAGTGCATAGTAACAGGATCCTTTTCCAGAATTAATTTGTGAGTTGGACTTGTGGAGCCTCTGAAATGTTTTTAAGGCTATCTGTTGGTGGTTGGAGTCATAAGGGGTTTTGTCATCTGCGAATGTTATCTCCAGCTGTATATCTGTACAGCAGGAAAAAGCTAAATTCCTTTCTTTGTCCCATCTCCTAGTCTACAAAGGATCAGAGACTGGTGTATTCTGGCAGACTGCTTCCTGATCACCTGCAGCTGAAAGATGTTCTCAGAAAAGTAAGCTTTATATCAACACCATATGATACTTGATCAAACCCCCTTTTTGGGAAATAGGAATTTAGATCTGTGTTGTTTAGCTTCAAATTTTCATTGTTGTGTTGAGATGTAACCACATAATGTTGATACGTTCAGGAAGATGTATTTTTTTAAATATCCCTTGTATGTAGGATTGTGATACTTATGGATTGAGGCATGCTTCCAATGGGTGGGAGGGCAAGTAGGCTATGGAATTCTCAGACAAGTGGTATGTAGTATAGGGTGACTTCTTTGGACAGTTCCCACTATGACCTCAGAGGAATCATTTATAACAAGATTTGTGCTCACTTGGGGCATCACTTCTTGGATGTACTTAAATCCAAGAACTTAAATTAAAAATGGCACTTATGTAAACAAATTAGAATTCTGGTTTTGCATATAAATACATTACCCTTAAATTCATGAACTGGTTTTGCTGAGAAAGCTATTTGCTGTCCTGGTTTTGTTTGTCAGCTGTCAAAAATGTCATCAGGAATGGCTGAAAGTTCTTGGGTTTTTTAATTGCTTTTTTTTATCCTGCTGATTTGTCTTGGAAAAAATAATTTTACTAATCTAACTTTGGATTTTTCAGTCAATATGTAAATTAAATCCAAATCATGAATACACATGACATCTGATGTGGGAAGTCTTGAAATACTTGGTTCTTAAATCAGTTCAAATAGTTTGAATTGATGCTACCAAGTGATAGGGACTTCATTAGTAAAGCTCTTAAAAAATACAGACAATAAGATGATATTTAGGGCAGATTATCAAGAACTTTATTTCAGTTTTGGTGGTAGCAGAAAACATACTGCATTATGTTGAGTAGTCTTTACACTCCTTGTAAACAGATTGGGATGCATCAGGAGATGTAATTGGAAATGCTTTAGTTCAGTAAACAGTTACACAGTTTTTAATCCTATGAAATAAGTAAGCTTTGTAATACAGTACCTGGTGTTGATACTTTTTTTGTAATATATTAAGGTAAAAATCAATGTACAGGCTGCAAGAGTAGTTTACGTTTTAGTACTTAGTATGGAGGGACAGTTTCTAATGGAGAATAATGCTTCAGTGAGAGTGGGCACCTGATCTTCCATATTCAGTATGAAGAAACAGTTGCAGAGGTGTCTTGAGCAGACTAACACTCCCGTTACTTTATAATCTGCATTCTGAAATAGGTTTAATTAGAATGGATTTAACTGCTTACCAAAAACAATTGAAATCTACCGTGCATGGGTTTACTGGAAAACTGAAGCTGGACTACTACCCCAACCAGTATATGTTTTGTACCACTTAAATTAATGAGAATACTTGTATAACTTACCTCAGAGCTTGGTTTTGCTTGTTAAGGACAAAATGAAGTCTGAAGCCCTTCAATTCCCTTGGCCTGCTTAGAGCAGACTAGTTCTAGAAAACACGATTTCAAACCCTGCTTATGTATTGGAGGAGAAGCTTTGCCTGACTAATGTTTGCCTTCACTCTGTGTGGGCTATATTGGATTTTAAAGGCATTTTAGTAGCTGTAGCCCTTGGGTTTTGTTAAAGAAATACAGTGAATTTAGAAACATACTCATCAATCTTAAGCACAAAATTAAAAATTTGGTCTGAGTTTTTTTGTGTTCAAGCTTTTAAGAGCTCTTTGGAAAAGAGGTATGATTACTTTTAAATTCAATTTCATTCTTTACCACGTTCTTCCTACTTTGGTTAGCTATGAACTGGTGTTACCAAGGATTTACTAAATCTCTCAAATTAGCATGGTGATGCTCAGCTCAAAGGGTGCTGATACAAAATTCCTTGAGGCTGTAGGCTGTGGTGCTCTTTGAGCACGGCGATGTTGAGCATGGTATGTGTAAGTATGGACGTATGAATACAGGTGCCCTCTGTAAGCTTACAGGTAATATCTAGCTTCCTTTGTCTCTCCGAGTGGCGTGAGGCCTTATCTGGGAAGAAGGTAACCAGTTAGGTTAGTATGCTGATCACCTGCGTGCAGTGCTCGCTGATCACTGCTTTATTACCACTGATTAGTAAGAAACTACGCTTAATGTAATAATGAGGCTGTGCTTGAGGCTGGAAACTGATCATGCGGAGGAGTTTAAATTAATGGGGATACGGGTAGGCTGTGCTAGCAGGGATGCACAACCATTTATCCATTTTTCTTCATTCCTAAAGATTAAGACTTAAAAATGAGTAAATATGTGTGTTAACATGTTTTAATATTTTTTTAAAAACCCCCCAAGCCTGGTATTTCTAAATGTCATCTCATTAAAAACAGCAGCTTGACTGCACCATGCTGCCTGCAGAAGAAGACAGACTTGTTGTTGCTTTTCTTGTTTAAAATCTGGTTACTGAGGAAGCTGTCGTGTTCAATTTAAATACAGTTGTAGCTACTGTTGTTGCTATGGCCATATATGCTTCAGACGGGCGGGTGTAATGGGGTGTTCTCATTTGGTGCAGTGAAATAGCTTCAGGTGGAAGTTATGGCCCCTTTTTGGGGGGGGGTCATATTGATGAAGAATTGGTGTGGGCTGATTACGTGTATGCTGACATGGCTTCAAGTGGTGCCACTTGTTCACTGCCTTACTTTCAAATATTTAGGAATACTCAAGTCCCACCTAGCACTTCAAATAGCATTCCCTGAGTATGAAATATTTGCAGGGGATCTTCAGTTGGGCTTGAACCAAGTTTGGAGTGAGTGAAGCAGAGGCAATGGCTGGTACATCTTTCTCATCTTGGTCTGCTTGTGGAATTCCAGCACCTGTATTTCTCACATACCGTGATGTCTTTATTGAATAACACTCACGGTTAGATCTCAGTGCAAATGTAAGCATTGTTAACTTCAGGGAAACCAAGCCCTGTAAAGGGTTTGAGGTTTTTCTAAAACGAAAGTTAAAGCTTATGATGTACTTCCTCTTGTTTTTCTGTGTGGTCTTCCATTGGTTCTGCTGTAGTGCAGTTCCAGAACAACTGGGGCGAAGTGAATATTCAGTGTGTTATCGTGGAGAGCTTCTAAGAAAACTTCAGTTGTGAAACAGCAGACTTCTCTTGTGCTAGGCTCAAGTATTGCTTTATGGTCTCTCCATTTTGTATAATGTGTTTTTTTACTGATTGCAAATGCAACTTTGAAAGTGGATTTTAAAAGACGTTTCTTTGCTTGTAAATTTCTCAAGTATTGTTGCTTTAGCTCTTCAATTTCTTTAATTTTTAGCAAGATGAATATCATATGGTTCATCTGGTATGTACTTCCCGGACACCCCCAAGTTCTCCAAAACCCAGCACCAGTAGAGAGCGTCACGGAGCTTCAACCTCCAGCAGTAGCTCAGTGAGTTTTTTTTCCCCCCTACACAGGACATGAATTTCTTCTACACTGAGGAAGCTTTCCAGGAATTTTTCTTTATTTTACAGTCTAATTTTAAAAATCCTGTGGTATGAATTTGTACAATTAGACTTGATTAAGGGTAGCACTTTATTTAAACAAAGATGATCCTTTTTCAGATTGTAACACAATCTTATGAGATGATAAAGCACTACTTTTTATAAACTGTTCTTTATTTTTAACACTTTATTAAAAAGCACATTTCTAAAAAAACCCTATCTTTGGCAGAAATTTAGCAGTGTATTCAGTTAAAAAGTTCTGATTTATTTTGTGGAAATTTGTCCCGCTGAAGAGAGACCAGTCAAAGCGGTGTCCTTATTCAGAGATGGGCAGGTGGAGCTTGGCCAGCATCCATTCTGCTTGCCTTGGCTAGTACTTACTTAGCTTCAAGGTGGTCATAGTGTGTAAGACAGTGAGAAGTTTGGCAGAAATTTAGCAGTGTATTCAGTTAAAAAGTTCTGATTTATTTTGTGGAAATTTGTCCCGCTGAAGAGAGACCAGTCAAAGCGGTGTCCTTATTCAGAGATGGGCAGGTGGAGCTTGGCCAGCATCCATTCTGCTTGCCTTGGCTAGTACTTACTTAGCTTCAAGGTGGTCATAGTGTGTAAGACAGTGAGAAGTAGGCTGTGTTCTTAACGTTTTACTAGTTAGGCTGTTGACAGAACATTTGCTTAGGGCGTTTTGAGTCTTAACCCTCTTCACACCTTCCAAAAATGATGATGTTCTCTGGTTGTACTGTTCTACTGGAAGGGCAGTTAATGTTTCTGTGGATGACTTGGTTGTCATCACTGTAATTCTCTCTGCTTTCTCCAGAGCTGGCAGTATTACTGAGTGACTCTTGAAGGTTAGTCAGAAAGGAATGTTTTGGGTGCTTCTCATCTGTGGTGTGTTGATTATCAGCGTTTGGGAAATACCCTTCCAGTAATGCGCTGTCTTCATTTCCCCCTGGCTGCTGTGTGACAGGTAGAAACATGAGCAGTTTAAGCAATAGTACACAGTGGACAGTGGTTCCATAGTCCCTTCAGAGGCTGTATGTGTGTATCTTTGCAAGCAGGATGCAGGGGGCCTCCTTTGTGATTGATCAGTTGTGAATGTCGTATTTAAATGACTGTAGTAATGACTGCTTAAAGCAGTCGGTATGCACAGTGTTAAGTTCATAATACTTTGAAGGAAACAACCTATCCCCAGAGCTTGAATGGCCTGTGTTCTTCCTGGTTTTTTTTATTTTCCCCCGCTGTCTAGTGGTAAATTTTTCTTGTTTTCCCTTGTAGGGCAAATGTGATATGGATGTCTTAAGTAATTGCAGCCTCTCGCTTCCTGAGCTGTCAGACTTGAAGAGAATTTTCTACTGAGTAAACATCACAGTAACGCTTAGCAATAGCATTCAGGGACTTACTAAAACTACAGTAGTGCATGTCAGTGGCCAAATTGCAGTCTCGCTGTGGTGACAATCAAGCAAAGCCAGCTGTTCTCCTACTTCCAGGGTTAAGTATTGATCTTGGAAAGCACAGAAGGTCTGACACTACTTGTAGGTGTGTTTCTGGGACCCTAAGTAGTTCCTAGCTACTTCCCCACTCAGCACTGAGCACAGCAGTTGGGATTGGGCAGCTAGCACAGTGAAGATGGTGAAGAGTAGAAGGGGAAACTGAAGATAAGAACAGAGGAATGGTATTTTAAGTCACTGCAGACACTTGTCTCTGAATATAAAGTCGTATCCTGAGGTTGTAGTTACTTTTGTTGATGGCAGCCACTAGGATTTTTGTTGCTGCTGAATATTCTTTGGATTGAGCTTCAGTTTGGTTCAGCTTTGATTCCTGGTGACATGTGGTTTTCTCTGGGACCTATTATATGTGCACCTGAGTGCAATTTTAAATTTCTGTTTTTACTAAAGGCTTGCCAGAACCATTAAAACCCCAGAAGACTTGCCTGGGGCTTATATTCTCAATAGAACTTGTGGAAAAAAAAAGTAGAGCAAATAGTTTTTTAAGACACAATAATAAATCTTGTAACTTTGGCAAAAAGATCCCCAACCTCAGTTTTTATTTATTTTTAAGAATTTGGACCGTTCTGGATCAACTGCTGCCTCACCCACAAACCAAGAAGCTTCGTCTACATCTTTGAACACTAGTGCAGATGGAGTGAGGCATCGTAACCTTCCACAAGCACAAAGCAATCCCATACCGAGCCACCAGTTCCCTTATTTAATGCAAGGGTAAGTGAGATTGAAGCAGTCCTCAGCTCCTTGATACTCGTGATTCTTTGATACTTGATACTTTAATTGTTCAGTTACAACTATGTTTCTTTCTGCAGTCTGCAAAATGAGTGGGCTAGTTCGTCTTGAAGCATGTCACACTTAGAAACACTTTTGATGTGAATATTAATGTCTTTAGCCAGAAGACAATCAAAGATTAAGTGTTCATGGTGCTCTGCTTCAGGCTATTTTTTTTTTCTTCATGCTTTCTGCCCTCAACTTTCTGTTCAGAAGTGCAGCTGTAATATTTATCTAGTAGAAGTAATTAGTGATGTAGCTGATAAAATTATTGCTTCTGGTTGCGTTTTCTATTCCTTTATTGTAAACATCAACCCTAAATTCCTATCAGAATACGGTGGTTCTTTGGTTTTGACACACAAGAGATGTAACACTTCTGCATATTGGATTCAGCTGTAGAAATGATCTGCGGGTGTTTTGAGTACTTGTATCTGCATTTTTCGTACACACCAATGAAATGTAACCAGCATACGTTTCTAGATCAGATCTCTTAACTTTCAGGTTTCTGTCTGTATTTTTTTGCACTTAAGCAGCTTTAAGAATTTTTAACCCATGTGACCTTTGCAGCTTCTTAAACTATTTTTTTTTTGGTGGTGTTTTCTTCCAAGGGGAAAACAGGAGGATAATGCATTCTGAGGTGATAGTTATCATTTCCTCAGGGACCGCTTTAAAGATACACCCTTCTTAGGGTGTTATCCCACTATGGCATAGATTCTAGAGATTTTCTTTGGAGAATGGTTAAAAAAAAAACAAACGAACCACAAATGAAAACCACCCCAACAAACAACAACAAACCACACACACCACAAAAAACCTGGAGCCTGCTAACAGTAACAATTTTTTCTGTCACTGGAAAGAAAACAGATGCTAAGAACAGCTGAAAGTTCATTTCGTTTCAGTTCAATTTACTTGCTCTCTCATTAGAGTTAACATAGACTTTACTGGTTGTCATGGTTTCAGCTCAGCCAGTGACCAGGCACCACCAGTCCGCTTGCTCACTCCTCCCCCTGGTGGGATGGGGAAGCAAAAATAAAAGGACAAGCAGAAGGAGGGATCGCTCATCCATGATGGTCATGGGCAAACCAGACTCCGCTGGGGGGAGGGAAATGATTTGATTTGTTACCAATCAAATCAGAGTAGGATAATGAGAAATAAAACCAAATCTTAAAAACACTTTCCCCCACCCCTCCCTTCTCTCCAGGCTCAGCTTGTCTCCCCATTTCTCCAGCTCCTACCGACGGTCAGTGGGGGTTGTGGTCAGTCCATCACATGTTGTCTCTGCTGCTCCTTCCTCTTCAGGGGGAGAACTCCTCCACCGAGTCACGGGCTCTTTAGGCCAGTGGTGTGCTCCAGCATGGGGCCTTCCCTGGGCTGCAGGCGGGTCTCCATGGGGGCAGGAGCACAGCCTGCCCTCTCACCATGGGCTGCAGGGGAACCTCTGCTCTGGGCACCTCCTCCCCCCACCTTCTGCACTGACTTGGGTGTCTGCCTGGTTGGTTGTCTCCCAACCAACCAGGCTGTATTTTTTTTCCCTCTTAAATACATTCTCCCAGAGGCACTGCCACTGGCTGGCTCGACCTTGGCCAGAGGCACGTCTGACTTGGAGTCAGGGAAGCTTCTAGCAGTCTCTCACAGCAGCCACCCCTGTAGGCCCTCCCGCTGCTACCAAAACCTCGCCACACAAACCCAACACATTAGTCTGGCCAGTTTTAATTCAGAATTCCTTTTTATTATTTATGATAAGTACTTTATTATTTATCTGAAATGCACTGTCAGCTGGGAAGAAGTTGCCTTTGCAGTGGGTGGAACACTTAGTTGTTCTGACCACATGCATCTCTGTAGAAGTGGTTACGCTTGCCTTTGTGACAAAGCTAAGTGGCACTAGGTTGACTGTCAAGACTGCTCTTTGTTGTGATGTAGATTAAATCCAGAAGCAATTTATTGTGTGTTGTGTAAATTACTAATCTGTAAGAAGTTTTAATGGTTTTGTAATTAGCTTTTCAAATAAGCATACCCAGAGAGTGAGGTTTTTGGCAGTATCCATGGTGAACTCAGTAGCCTGTGGACTTAAAAAAAGGCAACAGAACCGTTAATCAGTCGTCAGGCTGAAATAATTAAAATACAGTGGGAAGCATTGGTTTGGGAGACATCACTGTGTTTGAAAAAAAAGAGTAACTTTAAAAATAAATAAAGAAAAATACTAAACCTTTGTCTGTACTAGTAAGTAGTGTGGATTGAGAGGAGGGGATCTGTAGGCTGAAGGAGGTTCTGAGGACCTGACATCAACCCTGCACATATTCCAGGGTTTTGTGTCTGTCTTGAGCCATGTCTAGTTTGGTCACCTGGAACCAGGTGCCTCTTTGTGGCTAAAGAGCGTTAGCAGTGCACCTAAATCACATCTTTCAATTTAATGTAATCCAAGTGGAATCCAGGTGGTCATCCAAAAGCATTCTGTGGTGCAAACAAAACTGTAGTAAGAGGAAGTGACTGGAGAGTCGCTTCAAATGTGCAGTCCTGACCTGAAAAGAAATACCAAAATAAATGGACACTAAATAACCTTAGGCCTTTTTTCGTAAAAGTAACCTAATGGAATGCTATCAGAACTTGAGGTAGATCTTTGCTGCAGACTGCTGGGCACTAGCAGTGCTCCACTCCCAGCAGTCTGCGCCAGCTGTAGTTTTGTGTTGCCTCATGAAACCCTTTTAAATGCTTTCAGGAATCTCAGGCGTATCTGTGTTTGCTGTAGGGTGCTGCTCCTTGTGTTCCAGCAAGAAGAAATGCCTTCTGGTTTTTAGCTGCTCTCTTAAACATGGTTTGGGGCAATGGAATCTCTTTAATGTTATGCACACAGACTGAGACTTTTTAGGAACAGTGAAGATTCGTAGCTGAAATTTGTGTTGCTGTATGGATTTTTCTTACTGCTTGATGATGAAACAGTTACTCTAGCTGCATGATGAACTATGGGCTCTGCCAATGGGGGAAGGTCTCTGTATGTTTGGAAACGTGTAAGCATCGGTTTTCTTGAGCATTTTGCAACACTTTTCATTAGTAATTTGTGCAAATAAGTGACATGCATGTTAGATGATTAAATGATGGTTTTGATGGTTTTTCAGTTCCTGGCAAAAAGCTTTAATGCACGAGTCGTATATCCTTTGGGAAAATGGCTAACTCAGACTGTTAAAATATTATAAAAAAGGCAATTTAAAACTTTCTGCTGCTTTTGAGCTTTTGTAAATATGTTTTCTAAAAAGTCTAGGCTTGATTTGGGATTAGGTGAATAGTTTATATTACAATTTCTCGAGTCAGTCTTTCGCTGGGTAGAGCAAGCACAGCATTGTCTGCTTCTGTGGACTCAGTCCTGGATCAGGGCCCCAGTGTGCTAGGCAGGTACAAGTGGAACAGATGGGCTCAGTCCTGAAATGGCTGGCATTTCAGATTGGAGCGTACTTGGAAGCAGTAAACAGACAAGAAACATCAAGGCAGTGAGATTATTTGTCAGGTGTGGGCAGTCCATCTGACTAAATGTTTTTCTATTGTGTACATAGTAGTGTTTGAAAGCAAACAACAAAATGAGGTGCTGACAGCATACAGTATGTTCTAGGACATAAATACCTTGCTTCATCAGTAGCCTTTGCTCGCTGTATTTTTTTTTAATTAGTAAATAACATAGTGGAGGATATTGAAATATCACTTCAGTTGATAGCCCAGGCTCTCATGAGACTAACACTAAATGAGATGTCTTGGTGGGTCAGGGTCATCAAACAGATGCAGGTATTGTCAGTCATGCAGTTGGCAGACGTTGAGCTTTTAAGTCTGAATAAAAGGTCTTGTTTTTCCATTAGTGCTGAGCAGCATCTTCATGGTGACACTAGCTAACTAGTCTGACCTTACCCTCAAGTTAAATCCCAGTTAGCTCATTTTAGGCATCTTCCATAGACCAAAAGAAGTAATTTTGATCTTTCTAGCCATTTAAGGAGTAGCATGCCTCCTTCTTTTCAGAATATCCTGAAGCTACCTCTACCATTTGAACCTTAAAAACCCCTTTCTGACTTAAGTAACTGTTCTTCTGCTGTCTGCTCTGCTTAGTTCTCCAGTCTTGGAATGCCTGTGCCTATCCAATTTGCTTCTCTGCTCTTGTGTTGTTACTGCCATTCTTTCGAAATACTCTGCTTCCTGCCTCTTTCTCCTCCTTTTGGAAAAAGATGAGGAGAAAGCACATGCTACTTTCCTTTTTATTCTAACAGCAAGCCGACTTGCTTTGCCGAGAAGAGCCTCTTCCTTTGGAAAGGTTCTCACTGGAACATGTTACGCAGTGTTTAGAGTTGTTCCTGAATTTCAAAAGCGAACTTAATACCCTGGCAGCTGTAATAGCTGTATAATTGACAACATCTGCCTCATTCAGGTTTTTGATGAGCAAATAAAATGCTGAGCTAGTTGGCATCCTAAGGCAGAAGCCAGTTCTTGAATATTGCTGTTTACGTTTTCTCATTAATGGAGTCGGATCTTGAGAAGTTAAGTCTTGCTCCTCAGAAGGTCCCATTTCCTAGAAAAGCTGTTGGGGGGGCAGGGGGAGAGAGCTGAGGGAAAAAAATCTCACCAAAATATTTGAATGCGAAAGAACGTTACATAACTGAAGTCTGCTGTGGTTTGTCTTGGTTGACTGATTTCTTAACCTACTGCTAAGCTTTAAGACCTCAAGAAAGCAACTTTTAAGAGTTTGGAGAAAGTAGAGGTTCAAATTGTGTAATATTTCTAAAAAGCTGTATCTGTAAGGGAGAGCTGTTAGCCTAAGGCCTCTCAGCTGTTGTTGAGCTCAGCTGAGCAGCTTTGAAGAAGAACCAGCCTGTAACTGGTGAGAAAACGAGTTGGTGAATTGGTGCACAACTCACTCGGGGAAGTTGGGTAGGGCTGCTTGTTGGTGACTGAACTGCGTGTGGTTGGGC